GGGGGGGGGTGGGGGAGGCATGGGTTGCGGTCGTGGGGTCTAATAACAATTTTGCAATAAATTAAAAATTGAGGGACATAATAACTAATGATTTGAAGGAATAATTTCAAAATAATAAAGATTTAAGGGACTAATATCCAAAAAAACCCATTACTATCTTATAAAGGACCATCTTCTCAATTATGTTGGCAAGTAGCATTTCCGTTTTCAGTTATTCCATTCAAAATCACCTAAGCCTATCTTTACTTCCTTGCTCGTTGCTAGAAGCTTACATTTAAACTATTCTTGATTAATTATCGTTGCACATAAATGATATTGATGTAACAGTGTTGTGACGTATCGAACGTTCCTCAGGACCTACTTAGTTTTACATCAATTATCAGCTGCCTAATATAACTCTCCTCCATCTCACTTTTGGATAGGCAACCGGCGAAAAACACACAAAGATTAGTATTAACAGGCTAAGTTGAGTGACCTGAAAGGATTTCACAAATTCTTGTGCAGATAATTCACTTGTGGGTAGCAGTTTAGGGTCTAACTAACAACTGTTGAAAAGTTTTTTTTTTCTTAGTTATCTATTCTCCATTCTAGATATGTGGATTTGAGAATGAAAGTTGATGTTTAATTCATTTTTGAGGGAAATTTTAGGTTGTATTATGTATTTTATTCTTCAGTTACTTGCTAACAACGTAATGGAGGAGCATGGTCCTTTTTCTTCCAGTAATACACTTGTCATAAGTATATGTTTTGCCCTTTTGTCCTACCCTGAGAATACTGGCCAAATCCTACTAAGAGTTTATAGAAGAAGAAAAGGAAAAAAAGAAAAAGAAAAAGAAAATTCTATCATCCTTTGCACTTTTATTCGACTTAATCTCATGCTACTAATTTGTTTCAGGCAAAAAGCGAGTACTTGAAAGATTCAAACATAGTATTGCCTGTTCAGATCAACGGTAAGACAAGAGGGACGGTTTTGGTTGATGAAGCTTCTTCTGAGGATGATGCTTTCGAATTAGCTTCTCAAGATGAAAAACTCTCCAAGTATTTGATTGGAAAAACAATACGAAAAAGAATTTATGTCCCCGGGAGGATCTTGAATGTGATCTTAGATCAGCAGAAGGTGCGAACATGATACATAGGAATGTCATTTCATAAATTATTTCTTGTACCGTGTATTAACATAATGAGAGGCCATAATCATTGTTTTTCGAGATGTAACATAATAAGAGGAACTGCTGTATGTATGATTATTGTATTCTTCCAATTTAAATGAAATAAATCTTTCTTTCTGATATATATCATGTACATTATTGAGGTCATATGATGGACCAAAGACTTTCTTCGAATTTCCTTCTATGCAATATATTATTTCACTCTTTCTTTACAAAAAGATCCACATAATCATGTGAAATGAAGAATTTTTTCCCTATAATCCCTGGTTTAATTTTTAAGGGACTTATAAATTTCCAACAAAACACCCCTAAATCTACCCACGTCAAGCTTAACCTTCTGCTTAATAAGAAATATAGACCACCTCTATCAGGGATCTTTAAAAACACTGCATGATCCCTTGGATGCTCCTCTATCAGGGAACTCTCCTCTTTGGAGCCAGGGATGGATCAATTCCGAGCACTTTGTGGCTTAGCAGGCCTAGTTGGGCCTTCGAAAAGCAGTGGACTGAGGCCTCTCGGTCCATGTTGATTACTTCGTATTTGGAAAGCTGGCCGAGTATGGGCCGGTACCTGGCGATCCAGTTGGAGTTGAAGTCGGTCACCAGGAACTGGACCTCCCCATGGAAGTGGCGGGAAGTTGCGAATAAGGGGACTATTACATATTTACATTGAATTTTGTGATGGTGGCAGGGATACTAAGATGATGTTTGAGGTTTTGGGGAGGATTCTGATGTCACCAAGGAGAGAGCATGTGTCCGATGTTGGTTGTGAGAAGCCACACACTAGTTTGCTCTCTTGGACTGCATTATCCATGAAATGGTAGTGGAAGAAAATTAGCCAAAAGTATGAACCAAGATAAATTCAGCAAGTAGTAAAATATATTATTAGAATTCATATTCTGTTCAATATATAGGCACCAACCTTCAATTGCGTGATTTTGCTCTGGCCGCTCACTTGAGTCAATGGTCATATCCTCCTGTTTATTACCTGCTAAAAAAAACACTTTGCATTGTATCTACTTTGGATTGTATATGTCATTTAAAGCTTTCAATGATCTTAATGCTTAATGCTTAGTATGATTATGAAATCTCATAATTTATAATATGACATGGAAAATCATTAATGCCGATATACTTGAGGGCAAAAGCGGCGTATGGTACTTTCCGTGATAGATAGGGGTGATGAGAAGAATCGGGATAAGATCAATGCAAATCTCGAGTTGGTGGTGAGACTTATACATATCTTGAGTAGTATTATTAACTCTATTTTGTTGTTAACATTACGAGGAAACGAGAACATAAATAATATGGTCTTTACCTTGAATTAACTATAGATTTGTGCTTTAGGAGGGATTTGAGGCTGCATCCAAGGAGGCTGCATCTGTGTACATTTCGCAGGAGGAGGAACAAACCGAGCCGGACCCTCACATGCTTTCTGCAGAGGAGAACATCACTCTCACACATAACTTGATGGGTCATAATAGGTATGGATGGTAAAAAAATCGAATCAATTTGAATACTATATACTATTTATATTTGTTTACCATTATTGAATTTGAGAGCAAAATTTAATATTTGTTTCTCCCTAATAATAGGAGAGGAAGATATCCTCTGCATGGTGTCGAAGCTTCACCCGGCATAAGCATGAGATCATCCACAACATCCTACATACCATCTACAACAATGAGAGCAGCCACAAGCAGTTTCTAGGCTATGCCATTTGTCGCACGTAACTCTGCGTATTTGATTGACAAAATTAACCCGGAGCTGCATATTCAGGTGACTAAGGAGATGACTAGAGTTGTGCTGACGGCGAACTCGATGGACGATCTCATGTGGTATGTTATACAATATTTAGGTGGTGCGATTCCTCATAACGCGTATGGTGGTATCATACAGATTATTAGCTCGATTGGCGATAATTCCGGCGCTAGACAGAGCAGCGCTCAGGTACCTTATTTTTTCTTATATTTATAAATTCATTTTCGTTTAATATGTTATCAAACACCACATAATGATTATTCAATCGAACATTCAGAGTGGAGATATTGGAGGGAGCAACACTCGTTCTCGTAATCGGGATAGAGATATTCCCGCCGACGACGATGGATGAGGTTTTTTTTATTTTTAATGTAATAAACAGTTTTATTTGTTATAACACTACATTTATTCATGTCGTGTGTCCTATCCTAGTCATGTGCATTGTTAGTATATATGTTGTTGGATGTATACATTAGACGGAACTGGTTGATGTATATTTTGGAGTGGATGGTTGGATTTGTGCAATGTGTTGGATTTGATTATATTTGGTTTTGAATGGAATTGTTATGAATTTTGATTATAATTGGATGGTTGGATGTATTCATGTGTACAGTATTTTCTGGATGTATTCATTAATAAAATTGTACATGAATATACAATTTATAATTAATTTTTTTGCTGAAAAAATATCAACGTAGACAGAATTCCGTCTAGGTTGAATCAACCAAGACGGAATTCTGTCTAGTTTGAGTCAACCTAAACAGAAGCAAAATAAACGGACCTAACTAGATGGAATTCCGTCTAGTCGAACTAACCTAGACAGGATTTGGATCAACCTAGACGGAAATTTCCGTCTAGGTTGCTCGTTTTTCTACTAGTGTATAAGCCATTTATGAACTATAAGCTAAGTGGATTATAATCTAAAGTTGCTAAACATGGTCTCAATATGATTATGTTAATATAGTTGATTAAATTGCTTAATGCAGTGACTGTAAAAATAACTCTGTGCACTCTCATAGAGGGGTATCGAGATTAATACCATTAGTGAATCATCAGCTATTAGGATTTGAGACAAGTTGCTTAAAATCTTTTGTTTACATTAGCTTTACCATTTTAACTTGTTTATTTTGATCAACATCGAACTGGGTTTGAAGCCTATTAACCTTTGACTAAATTAGGACATATTTTGCGGGATTCTGAAAGCGATATAGATGAATCCTAATACAAACAAAAGCCTGGAATAAAACATGCACGCGTATCTCACAAAATGATAAGTAATTTCATGTTCGTCCTATGATGTGATTGTTATCTATTAGGAAATTATTCTATAAATAACACTCTTCTGTAAACTAATTTATATTTATTTAGTCACTGTAGATTAGAATATTCTGTAAATGTTATTCTTACCCTTGGTAGGAAGTAAGTCGCAAGAGGACAGTATTTGGCCCTCGAGGAATCAAATATTGATCATCTAATGTTTTATGTCATTACAAACTAAGAGTGGAAGCTCATTATAATGAACACATCCATAGTTACTCGGTTTTGCTCGACATACTAGTTGTGCATCAATAGAATTTTTCAATCATTTTTAATTAACTACAGAGAATTTTTTTTCCTATGTATAATTCAATCAGGAATCGAACTCAATACCGTTAAGAGTCATATTGGAACCTCCCAACCGTTTCGATCATTCACGATAGTTTGCTACAGGGATCTCCAGTATTTTTTTTTTGGATAGGATTCAAATTCCCAATGTACATATTCTTCTACTCAACTTTGACACACTTACATATACATCAAAGCACAAACCAATAATATTCACCACAATCATCTACCTACACCCAAAGTTTCATAAAAGAAAGGAAAAGGCAAAAAAAAAAAAAAAAAAAAAAAAAAACCCCAAAAAAGAAAAAAAAAAAAAAAAAAAAAAAAAAAATCCCCCTACTCTTTTCTCACAAGCTTGAGTGCCTCCAACAATGTCCCCCTGATCCTCCCCAAATCCATCCTCACATTCTCCTCCCCAGCACATTCCAAATACTTAACTCCCATCGCAACGCTTGTCTCCTTAACTCTATCCCTTTCCATCTTCTCTATACCTCCCAAGGGTATCACTTGTATCACCACCGCACCTTTAGGCAGGTATAACAAACTCATCACCCCTTCACCATGAACACAAACCAGAACGTCAGCCGAGTTCACCAACCGTGCATACTTGGTCACGTCGGTGGTCACGTTGGGCTCCCTGACGACCCTGACGTCGAATCCTAGGCTCGTCGCTGTCGTCATTATATCTTTAGCACTTCCCTGTTTCGATATGATCATCAGTCTCGGTCTCTTGTTAGCTGTGGCCTTAGTCTTGACTCGCTTCAGCCTGAACGCTCGCCTGAGCACTTTCCTGAGGCCCGACAGTGTTTCACTGTTAGGCTTGGATGGCGTCAGTCCGATGAATGCTTTAGGAAAGCAGTGGACGATGCCAGGTTCAGCGTACATGAGTTTGTGATACGAGAATGTAGTTAAGATTCTGCGAAACTTGGCAAGCAACCAGGGTTTGGCATCGGAAACCAGGAAGTGGGCTTCGTCATGGAAGTGGCGGGAAGTGACATACAGGGGGAGGAGCAAGTCGGCAAAGTCATGGAAGTGGTTTCCGGTGAAACTGTAGGTGGAGAAGATGAGTGCGGGGGAGGAGTGTTTCTTGGTGCACGGAGGAGGGCTGGCGTCAGAGAGGGGCTTGATGGTCCATCTGTTTTTTAACATTTGAGAGGGTTTAGGAGAGGAGGGGATGAATATAGTTCTCGAGGTTGCTTGTATTCTGATATCGCCTTCGACGACGCAGGGGTCTGATGTTGCGGTTGGATTGTAGCATATCGGTTCTGGTCCTTCTTCGCCGTTGTACTCGTCTTCATCATCTGCAGTGTGGAAGAAGAGAAATCAACAATTTACTCCTTGGACATTTGAATTCAAGAAACAACATAAAAGGAGAATTATTTACTTATGAACATTTTCTGAAAATTTGCAAGCAAAAGATTTGAACCCAGCAGTAAATACCGTTACTAAAACTCCAGGAGACTAACTGGCAAGAAAACATAAGCCTGTTTTCATGGAATTTTTTTTACTTATGCTTCATAAGTTAGCCTAAATGATAAACAATTCATTACAAAACTCAAAACTAATGTACTTAATTATACTACTGACAAGCCGGTCTCCTTTTACTCTCTCTATGTCTCTAAGAAATTTCAAATTTCTCCTGAATTTCTTGCTAATTTTTTTATGTTAGACTCAGAATCAAGATAAACTACCAGATTCATTTTTTGGCCAACTAGCAACCAAAAAAAAAAAAAAATCCAGTTGAGCATCTAAAATTGCATGATGATTTTAATTAAAAACTGCAAGACGTCTTGTAGTCCTACGGGAAATTGGACATACATCTATTTCTGCACGATTTCCTGAATATTTTCAGTATAAAATCGAGCACAATGATGTAATTCTCAATCTTTAAACTTCCCTAGACTAATTGCTTTCTTTCGTTTTTGAGCTGAAAATTAGTCTATAATAGGATTTATAAATGAAAACATAGGCCAGTTTTCATGGAATTCTGAACTTTCCCCGTCAATTTACTACCAAAAAGAGGTTATATATAAACAATTCTTTCATGAACTTAATGGTACTAGCTACAGGCTAATCTCCTTTTAATCTTTCTGCGAAATTTCAAGATTTCTCCCGAATTAGATTATTTCTCGACGCCAGAGTCAGAATAGAGACATAATCTCAACTGGGCATATGAGATTCTCAAAACCCATAACCTTTTATCTAAAACTTTGAATTAAGTAATCGCCGTGAAAACTACCTTTGAAAGAAGAATGAAGAGCATCCTCCATCACCATCTCCACATCAACCTTCTCGTCAGACACTTCTAATTTCAAACTTGCCTGTGATTTCACTGCAATAACAATTAGTTTAAGCTTAGCATTGATAAAATGAATCCAGAGAGAGAGAGAGAGAGATTTGAGGGTGAGAGAGAGACCATAGGGAGCAGGGCAATAGTGAGCTTTGAAAATAGAGAGAAAGCATAGAGAGAAGATTGTGCATAAGATGATGAGGAGATTGCCAAGCTTTTTGTTCTTTGGTCTGCCAGAGCTCTTCAACGTCTTCATCCTCTGTTCCTTCCCCCCTTGCCTACTCTCTTTGATTTCTTCTGCTGTTTAATTTCTCATTCTTATGTCATGGAAGTTTCTGATTCCTTTGACTTTGTTTGTTGTGCTAAGCCCCAGATGATTGAATTTTGTAATAGAGAGTTACCTAATCTTGTATTATGTACTATTTGATTAGTAAGGAGTTGTTAGAGGATATTTTGATGTACGTACCTGTAGGCTGTCTAAAACTTACTGTAGATAGCCAATTCTAATGTAACATTGACCAACAACCTTTCTAATTCTCTACTCCATACCATTGTGAAGAGGGAGAAGAAAGATGGTGCACTTCAAAATCTTCATGGCTTCAAGCCTCTCTTACCTAGTTTCTTGAAGAAACTGGTGTTTCCTACTGCTTTCGTCAAGCAGATTGTGAAAGAGAAATTCAAAACAAAGACAACATTGCAGATGAGAGTTACAATTCAATGACTTTCGCAACAGTAGATGAAAGTTACATAATCAATACGACCCTACACCTAATCAAGGATGTTAGCAAAACAATCCAATAAGATTTGTTCACACACAAACTAAATCCTAAAATTAATGATTAATAACAAAAAAAGCACCATTTAATGCCCTTCGCAAAAGAAAACTTATCGATATCGAATCTTTCTAATGCAATATAATCCAAGATTTGAAATTGATAAGAACACTACTACATTATCATTAAATTTACAAATACGCAGGTAATCCAGCATTTAAATTTACAAATTGATAAGAATGCAAGAGGGGGCAAAAAAACCTAACCCTCGAATGGGAAAGAACAATACCTATGCATCCGGATGGGCGGTAGCTGAAAGGATCCGGATCGTTTGCTGTCGTCTGAACAGTGAACAGAGGACGGAGAAGGGAGTCTTCGATCTAAACGGATCGAAAAAAAGAATAGGAATTGGATTTGATCCAAGATGAGAGAGAGAGAGAGAGAGAGAGAAAAGGAAGAATAACTAAATTCAAACTCGGGAGAGAGATCAGTCACATGTGATAACTGATATGAACTTGGTCACCAGCGCCCGCTGTTGGAAACTAACAGAGATTAGCACCACCCACCACCAACAAAACAACGCACTACCTCCTACGGCACCGCATGAGCAAAGAGCATAAAACAGACTGAAAACAACCGCACGCTACATGTTTTAAAAAAAATAATGAACCCACCAAATGATGATCTCAAAACATTCATCAAGCAAAGCATAAAGGCTTTTTGCTCCTGCCCTGCAGCAAAACATCCTCAGATGAGATACTAATAAGATGTCAAAATGACATCCACAAGATTATTCTACTACACTTAAGGTTTTAAGCAATCAACGAGGTTCAAATAGAACGCAAGCGCCAATCTCCGCTATTCAAAACTTCAGCGCACACTCCTTTTTCACTTCATGCCCTTAGTTATGCAGCAACAAGCCAACATCCAAGGTCTTATTCTTTTGAAGTTATACATCAGGCTTAGGAATATATATACATTTTCTCTTCCATAAATCATTACTTGCTAATTTAGAACATGGGACTTCAAAGGATATAAATGCAACATGTATATGGCTTCCTCTCACCCAGAACACAAAAAATCAGGTATATTTCAGCTAGTTCCTGTACTGTCCCCTCGGTAGACACTCTCTAAAGCTTCCTTAGCTCTGTGAACCTTTGATTGAAGATAGAAGCTTCCATTCTTAGCATTTCGTTCGAACAATGCATCATATTTCTGCATGTAGTAAGACTTTCAGACATCAGATGCACAAAAATCACTATACTCTGTATGCACATTACAAATAAACCGACTATAAGACTTCAGAACATGGCAACTTAAATATTCCCAGGAAAAGTGAGAACTCTCCAAAATCATTAATGGGAAGTTCTCCTAAAATTCCAATTTTTAAATTTTCTTGCACCATTTCCTACCAACAAATTCTATAACTATACACTCCCAACAAATCATAGCAAAGAATGCAATTGACATCAATTCTTAAATTTTTCCCATCCAGGTACAACGTAGGGAAATAGAAATGGAGAGTGTATAATTGAAGAATAAATGAATAACATAACGAAACGAAATAGAGAACTGAAGAATAAATATCTAACATAAAAGAAAAAGAAAATATCAAAACCAAAGGTAAATTACCTGCAAAACTTCTTCCCATGATGCCTGCTCGCTCAGTCCTAAAATCTGCCTAGCTTCTTGTTCCGTCAAAACTTTACTCGGTCTTCGGATATTGTTAATCGCTTCATGTGCAACACCATTTTTGCTGGCATCTGTAATGGCAAACACAAAAGATATTATAAGAATCAAGAGCCTCCAATTGTTGTCGACACCATCAACATCATATCATCAAATCTTTTCACATTCCGAATAAGATTGGCTATCAAAGCACAGCACAATGTCAATTCACAGATGGACAAAGTTCAATCACTACATTATTTACACATGTTGGTTCTTATTTCAACACTTGCAGTTACTCTGAGAAAAAAAAATTAGAAATCTAATAAAAAAATGGCTTTTTGCACAACTTGGACCTATTTGATTATCCTAAGGAATCAAATCCATATATCTGAAACTGAAAGTGTAAACTTTAAAACTCAAGTAATAACCTATTGATATATTTGAGATCCACGGAAGATGAAAGATCAAGCACATCCTTTCAACCTTAAAAAAAGAAAAAAAACGTGATCGTAATAAAGCTAAGCACTCGTGCAATCTCAATCTTTTTCTACAAATCACGAGGATCAAATCCAAATCTAGAGCTTGAAGCGCGCATACATCTAATAAAATCAGGATATCTACTTTCTTATAACCCTAGCTCAGCCAAAAAATCAATTACTTGAAGACCTGAAACCCCAACTTTCAACAAAAAATGGGAAATTTTCTAAAGAAAGAGAGAGAGAGAGCTAAGATCAAATAGAGAAATTATATAGACAAACTATTTCGTGACAATCAAAATCTCCACGAAAACGATCGACAATTTTTGAATAAGAGTCTTTCTTCGAGGAAGCAAAACTTGGGGGACGAAGAATAAAATTTGAGGGCTCTAATAAGAAGAGTACGGGCCGGATTCTATCTTGTCCATAATTTCACATATCATGCATATATTTGACACGTAGGCATATTTGTCCAAATTAACAAACCAACAACATTTTCTCTTGGGACCTAAATTTATACAAGCTATATTAATTTACTAACAATTATTATGATAAAATATTCAAATACATAATCACAAATACATATCTTGTCCATAGTTTCACACATCATGCATATATTTGCCACATAGACATATTTGTCCAGATTACCAAACCAACAACAATTTCTCTTGGGAGACCCCAAAAAACTTCCTTTCGGTCACAAAAACTACAGAGAGATATATTTTTCTTTGCCTTTCAACTCTCCATCATTATTCATATGTTGCTACTATTTAGAGATGCTCTTCGCTCTTAACAGGCCAGTGATTTTTCCCCCCCAGCTACAATGGGGTTTAGCAAAACCCTTTTGAGACCGTTGACAACAACGCATCTCATGCTTATTTAGATGGTTACCTAGACCAACAAAACCATATAGAATAGTAGATTAATCAAATATTATCTTGATAAAGGATCGATAGAAGCACATGATAGGTCACAATAATATGCTCACACTTGCTATGTCATTATCTCATGTTACTTGAGGCCCGATGCCTTCAGTAGCAGTTGTAGCCTAAAACACAAAGTGCGGCAGTATCGATCTATGCCAAAGCACGTAAGATTTTTATGTACAACATTCATACCGGTATTCCCATTACAACAGGAGATCTATCTTATTCCTTACTATCACTGTTTTAAAAAACCTCCACCTAGTCTGCTTAGGCGTACGCCTAGGCCTAGACGGTACCTAGGCCGCCTAAATAACGCCTAACGCCTAGGCGGTATTTAGGCTGCCCACCTAGATATTACGAGGGTTTAGGTGAACATTGTCTGCTTACGTGGATTGCACCCTGTAGGCCTTGATTGTGATTTTATGTGTCGTAGCTTACACGTCCTCCAAATTCCATTAACCTCCAAATATGAACACCTCCACTACCTCCTCCGACCTTCAGCAAAACCTCATCAACCACCACTTAAATGAAAAAAGAAAAAAAACGCTCAGAAACCGCTTAGGCGCCCGCCTAGGCGACTAAGCGTTGGGCGCCAAGTCCGACGCCTAGAAGCGTCCAACGTTTAATGTAACATTGTTTACTATTAAACCAGTTACCAACAAATGACTTCTAGGTATGACCGAGACAGTCATAAACTTACAAAAGATATGCTCAAGTCGAAACCCAGAAAGAAGTGAACTGAAAAGCAAGCACACCATTGATTCTAACCACCTATAATAAGCAATTAACAGGATCCAGTTACTTAAGAGGAATATTATAATTAAAAAAAAGATAAGGGATCATATAGAATAAGAACTGAAGGCTGCAATAAAGAGTAGAACCTAGTGTACATACTATGTAGCGAAAACAAAGATATAATATAAGTATAAAGTGGTATTGATGAAAGAGAATAATGTAGATATATTAGAAGAGGACAAAATTAAAAATGAAATCTAGCACCAAAATAGCTTCCAAACTCAGATCATTGTGCATACCCACAGAAAGAAATATCAAAATAAGTGATTATTTTGAAATAGCTTCCAAACTCAGATCATTGTGCATACCCACAGAAAGAAATATCAAAATAAGTGATTATTTTGAATAAAATATGAGTGAAAATGTGCTCTCGTCATACAAATAAAACAAAGAGAAGAATAAGAACTCATCGTGAGGCAGAAAATAACTTACTTTCAAGTGCTTTGCGATAAGCTTGAAATACGGCTCTTCCCAATATCCCAGAACCCATAACGATCAAGTTGGCAAGAATCTTTGCAGCCTATTTTGACAATAAAACCAGAAAAAATTAGAAATCTAAGAAAAAATGGCTTTTTGCACAACTTGGACCTATTTGATTATCCTAAAAAATCAAATCCATATATCTGAAATTGAAACTGTAAACTTTAAAACTCAAGTAATAACCTATTGATATATTTGAGATCCATGGAAGATGAAAGATCAAGCACATCCTTTCAACCTTAAAAAAAGGAAAAAAACGTGATCGTAATAAAGCTAAGAACTCGTGCAATCTCAATCTTTTTCTACAAATCACAAGAATCATATTCAAATCTAGAGTTTGAAGCGCGCATACATCTAATAAAATCAAGATATCTACTTTCTTATAACCCTAGCTCAACCAAAAAATCGATTACGTGAAGACCTGAAACCCTAACTTTCAACAAAAAAGGGGAAATTTTCAAAGGAAAAAGAGAGAGAGCTAAGATCAAATAGAGATTATAAAGACTAACCATTTCACGACAATCAAAATCTCCACGAAAACGATCGACAAGTTTCAAATAAGTCTTTCTTCGAGGAAGCAAAACTTGGGGACGAAGAATAAAATTTGAGGGCTGTAGTAAGAAGAGTACGGGCTCCAATAAAATTCGAGAACCGATCAACCCATTATTAGGTATATAAATGGGCCGGGTTTTAGTGATGGGCTTTTTATGTATTCAATTTTGGTAGAAACAAATTTTTTGGGTAAAATTGGTCGAGTTTTTTTATGCCCGGCTCTGGTCCGTAAAAATACGCATCTATCTATACAATATACTAAAGTAATACTCTAAAATGTCACGTGTCAAAATTCTAGAGCATTTAACACGTGTCAAAATTTCAGAACATATCTAGCAAAGGGCTATCTATACAATATACTAAAGTAGTACTTTGAAATGTCACGTGTCAAAATTCTAGAGCATTTGACACGCGTCAAAATTTCAGAACATGTCTATCAAAGGGCCAGTTTGGTTGCATTTTTTGCTATGAAAATTATGTAAAGCTGTCGGTTAATGGGCCCCACAGTCAGCTTTCATTACTTTACCATTTTTTGCTATGAAAATTATGTAAAGCTGTCGGTTAATGGGCCCCACAGTCAGCTTTCATTACTTTACCATGTTTGTTTGAATCTCTTTGACTAAGCTGTCGGTTAATGGGCCCCACAGTCAGCTTTCATTACTTTACCATGTTTGTTTGAATCTCTTTGACTGACATATTTTGATAAGGTGTAGTAGAAAGCAAAATCACTCCAATTTGGAGTGATTTTGTTGAAAAGCTGGCGTCCTATCAGCTGGATACAAAAGAAATTAAAAAAAACAAAACAAAGCCCTCCATGTAGGGGTGTTATCAGAGCGGATACGGTTCGAATATGACACTTACCATATCCATATCCGCTTTTTATAAACGGATATGGATACGGATCATCTTCGGTAAGAAAAAATATTAAACATATCTGCACTTATCGGTAACGGATATGGTTCGGATATTTGAGAATCGGATAGGATATGATCACGGATATAAACGGATATTTGACAAAATTTAATGTCTTGGTAATCACCATAATTCGAAATTGAAAGTTTGGCCTAATTAGTTGTGTCCTGGTACACAAGTAACACAACCAGTCAACATTTCACCTTGAACCCGCATGATGTAGATGATGTTGTGTAACCAAGGCGGAAATATACACGCTTTTACGTTTTGATCCCTAATCAAACGACGACAAATCTAGATCTAGGATCAAATTCTACAAACTAGTCAGAAATTGAAATCACTAAATTACATCCAGATATATGCCATGATTTTGTAAGTGAAGTTGAATTAGGAATAGCGGATTTAAAAAAGTTCAGAACATCAAACTAATCACACAGATCCAAAGATGTTCAGATCAGATCATCAAACAAATCTCACAAGTTCTGTTAGGGACTTGGGTAGTATGGGATGCCTAAGTCCCACATCGAGTAAAATAGGAAGCTTGATGGGCTATTTAAGTGACTCGGTTCTTCTCCCTTAACAACTAGCTTTTAAGGGTGGGTTCCCCAAATTGCTTGGATCCTAACAATTGGTATCAGAGCTGGTTGTCAGCGTCACGGAAAGGGCTACCTGTGGAGGGTCTCTGACCGGAAAGGCCGAGTAAAGCAACGCCGAGTGAAGCGTCATAGAGTGCAGCCGCCGGGACGTTGGCTCTCAGGGGCGGTGCTATGTTAGGGACTTGGGTAGTATGGGATGCCTAAGTCCCACATCGAGTAAAATGGAAAGCTTGATGGGGTATTTAAGTGACTCAGGTCTTCCCCTTAACAACTAGCTTTTAAGGGTGGGTTCCCAAGTTGCTTGGATCCTAACAAGTTCAATAGTAGACAAAAATGGATCAAAATCACAGTAACTCCGCCTCGATCGTCGATCACCTAATCTATATCACGGATCTAGCATCATACACCACCAGGGATCCAAACAAAAATCTAAAAAAAATTAAATATTAATAATAATAATAACACGAACAGATCGCAAACCCTAATAATAATAACACGAACAGATCGCATACCCTAAGATCAAGAGAAACTTGTAAGAATCCATACCATTGCGAAGCTACGATTGATAATCGGCGATGTGGGGAGAGAGGGGGGATCAGATATTCTTAGAGAGAGAACGGCGAACGTTGACTGGCCGAGACAGGATCTTGACGCACGGCGGGACGCGGCGCGAACGGAGAAGACGATCGCCGGCGGCGGGAGGCGGCGAACGACGAAGACGACGCCGGAGAATGGAGAAGATGACGCCGAGAGATGGCGAAGATAACGGCGGCGGGTCGGGAGTCTTGGGTCGGGAGTCGGATCGGGATCTGACGAGAGTTGAGGCTGTCGAAAATTGAGTGGAGGCGCAGTGGGACATAGGAGGCCTAGGGTTTTTAGTTGTAAAGTTGGGTTTGGGGTAGCAGTTACGGGTTTGTAACTTTGGACCCGAATCATTATTACATTTATATTTGCGGATATCCGTATCCACAACCCTCATATTCGTTTCCGAATCCGTATCCGAAAAAAAATCCGGAACCAGATCCGTATCTGTTACTATATCCATTCGGTTTCAAAATTCTCTTACCATATCCGCATCCGTATGCGAACGGATGCGGATCGGTTCAGATATCTCCAAACCGTTTGTCACCCCTATACCGATATCACAAAAAGAACCACTTTTTGTAAAAGTAAAATGGTAGTTAATTCAACAATAATTTTTTTTGAAAAGGATTAACATTGCAACTATAATAACAAAGTTATAACAATTTTTAGCAGAACAGCAGAACAAATGAACAAATTCTAACTATGTTTTTCTGTTTACTCAAAAACCTTTTTGGGAACTTGGATTTGGGTTTGAATTTCAATTCTAGTCCAGCCCAAATCCAAATGTCATGTTTGGGGTTTTAATTTAGGGCCGAATTTGAAATAAATGTATTTCGCATGAGTGGATTTGACAGCCTAATAAACAAGATTTCAAATCTTAACCCTGATTCAGTGATTTGTGAAATCCACTCTCCACCAAGTCTGATCGCGATTACTCGTTTGTCTCCCGACTCTCCCCAAATCATCGACTTTCCTCTCCGCTAACCCTAGCAGCGCCCGTCACCACCTCTCTCCACCCATCACCGCCCATCGTCGGGGCCTCGTCTTGAGCATCGACCTGTCAACGCCGGCCGCCCTGGCCCCCGCGCTACCCTAACGTAGTCCTGTCTTCGCCCGTCAGCCACCCTAGCGGCGCCGTCGGCTGCCCTAAGCGGCCCGTCGCCGGCGCCTTTCCCTGAACATCGCATGTTCGTTGCGAGCCTCTCTCTCTCTCTCTCTCTCTCTCTCTCTCTCAAATTTTGATCTCTCTGATTTTCTAGCAAACGAAAACCCTAGATTGAGGGAGTTATCGAGATCCTAGATCTCTATATTATGGCTTGTTTGGATGGAGGGTAGAGAGGGTGAAGGGAAGGAAAATTTTATTTTAACATTGTTTGGGAGTTTCATTTTGGAGGGTAGAGGAGGGGAATGGAGGGGAAATTTGGCCCAAATTTTTACACCTCAAATTGGGATGTAATGGAGGGGAAGGGAAGAAAGAGAAAAATTTCCCTTCCTTCCCCTTGGGTATGTTTAGATTTCAATGGGGGTTAAGGGAAGTTAAGGGAAACTAGGTGAGAGAAGGGAAGGGAATGAAGTTCTCTTCCCCTTGGTTACACCCCAATTTGGGGGTTAACAAATTTTATACTATTAAGGGGTGAACCAAGGAGAACTAGGGTGAATAACTTCACCTCCTAAATGTTCCCAAACAAAGTGAATGGTTCCCCTAACTTCCCTTCTCCCTTATTCTCCTCAATCCAAACAAGCCCTAACTAAACTCACGAACACACCATTAGTCTCTAGTTCTTCTAAAAAATTATGTTTTCATCATTTATTTGATCCTCTTTCACTTTGACATCCATGTTCATGTTGATGGAAGATGAACCTTTTCCATATTTTTGTTAATTTTTTTTTGTTGTCCTTTTTTTAAAGTTTATTTTGTTTGCTAGATTAACTTTAATAGAGTTACAATACCATGGAGTGTGTCTCTGATTGAAGTTTTTAAGAAATAACATATCTTTTGATAATATTTGACATCTTCAAGTTTTATGAGAATGTGAAGATAAACTCTCTAGTCTTTCTTACACACTTGGTTATAATGAAAAAATATGTTAGATCTATATCATAAAACTTGAGATCTAAAACCATATAGCCATGATTAATTCAAAGAGATTAACAAGGATCTAAAAGAGCGGAAGCTTATACCTGAATCCATTGCTTGATCTTGATTTTGGGTGTTGGATCTTCTAACCTTAGGGTTCTCTCTAAAACCGAATTTCTCTAGCTAGATGGGGGTGTAGAGAATTAGAGAATGTAACCCTAGGTTAGGGACCATAACCCCTTATTTATAGATGTTGTACTTTTGTAATTTAGCCCCTCAATAAATTACAATTACAACCTGGTATCTGCACATATAACCCCATGACTTATTTAAATACCAAATTAACCCAACTTAATTGATCACTTTAGTGGGTTATCCTGAAAGATAGCAATACACATTGATTAATCATATGTGCCCACAAATAGATTTATTAGATTAAATCCAACAATCTCCCACTTGGGCACCATATGATTCCTTAAACTGTGTATAACCTTATGAGCTCAAAAATTGCTATCACTGAAATGGTATTTCCGAACAATCTCGTCCATTGACTATATCAATATAGGATCAAAGCGGCCTTCGTCACATTTATCGTGACTCGACCCATCAATGGTCACATATACCAATACAATCAAACGACATAGATCAATCATGGATGTGCAGCATGAAAATTACATGCAATGTGATCAGTACATGTCTATTTTCAACTGGTCCTCCTTAGTGAGGTCAAAACCAAACATAATGTAACAGAGTGTCTTAACTGAAAACTTTATTCTGATCAGACAATACAAACAAACATAAAGCACCACAAATACAAACTCCCACTAAAACATAATATCCTCAAATAATACCACACCCATATGAGCAGTATGCTCATGAAAGACCTTAGGTGGCAATCCCTTAGTAAGAGGATCAGCTATCATGGAGTTTGTCCCAATGTGCTCTATGGATATCTGTCCACTCTGTACCCTTTCTTTCACAACCAGGAACTTAATGTCAATATGTTTTGACTTAGTTGAGCTCCTGTTGTTATTGGAATACATTACTGCAGATTTATTGTCACAATATAACCTTAGTGGTCTTTCAACATTTTCCAAAATGCGCAGTCCCGTGACAAAATTTCGCAGCCATATTCCCTGATTGGATGCCTCATAGCAAGCTACAAATTCTGCTGCCATAGTGGAGGAAGCTACTAGTGTTTGTTTGACACTTTTCCATGATATAGCTCCTCCTGCTAACATATAAATGTAGCCTGATGTAGACTTCCTGCTATCTTGGCATCCAGCAAAATCAGAGTCCGAATACCCAATGACCTCTAATTTCTCTGATTTTCTGTATGTGAGCATGTAATCTTTTGTTTTCTGAAGATACCTCATAACCCTTTTGACTGCTATCCAATGATCCATACCAGGGTTGCTTAAGTATCTGCCTAACATCCCAACAATGTACGCAATATCCGGACGCGTACATACCTGAGCATACATTAGACTTCCTACAGCCGAAGCATAAGGAATCTTCTGCATTTCCTGAATTTCAAGGTTACCTTTAGGGCACTGATTGAGACTAAACTTGTCTCCTTTAGCAACAGGGGTGTCACCTGGTCTGCAATCTTGCATGCCAAACCTTTTAAGTACCTTATCGATATAGCTCTTTTGTGATAATCCAAGAATACCCCGAGAGCGATCTCGATGTATCTGGATCCCTAATATAAAAGAGGCGTCCCCAAGATCTTTCATCTCAAAATTCTTTGATAGAAATCTCTTGGTTTCGTGCAACATGCCTATATCATTAGTGGCAAGCAAGATGTCATCCACATACAGAACCAGAAAAATATACTTACTCCCACTGAACTTGTGATATACACAGTCATCAACAATGTTCATCTCAAAACCGAACGAGATAACTATTTGTTGAAACTTATGATACCATTGACGAGGAGCTTGCTTGAGTCCATAGATGGATTTCCTTAATTTGCAAACCATATTCTTTGGGTCTCCTGACACAAAGTTTTCTGGTTGCACCATATAAATCATCTCATCAATGTCTCCATTGAGAAATGCAGTCTTAACATCCATCTGATGTAACTCAAGATCATAATGAGCAACAAGTGCCATGATTATTCTGAAAGAGTCTTTCGATGAAACCGGAGAGAAAGTCTCTGTATAATCAATGCCTTCCTTTTGAGTATAGCCTTTAGCCACAAGACGCGCCTTATACCTCTCCACATTACCGTTTGCATCCCGCTTGGTTTTAAAAATCCATTTACAACCAATTGGTTTTGCACCTTCTGGCAATGGGACAAGTTCCCAAACCTTATTGTCTTGCATAGACTTATACTCTTCATTCATGGCATCAATCCACTGTTGAGAGTTAGAACTTTTCATGGCCTGAGAGAAGTTGATTGGATCATCTTCTAACATTCCACTACTTTCCTCATGTTCTTGGAGAAATACAATATAATCATCCGGAATAGCATTTCTCCTTTCTCTCGTGGATCTCCTTAATGGCACTGGTTCTTGAGGTTGTTGAGTTTGTTCTTCTGGAACAGGGAGTTGTTCAACATTATCATCTTGAGGTTCCGGATTTACTTCTTGAGCAACAACAGGTATAGGAACCTGAATATTGTCAAAAGTAACTGTATGGATTGGATCTGAAGCCAATTCCTCCTCAAAACTAATGTCTCTAACCTTATTTCTCCCCCCAAACTCAACATCCTCAAAGAATGTTGCTGTTCCCGTCTCAAAAATATTCCTTATAGTGGGATCATAAAACTTATAGCCCCTAGAGCGATCAGGGTACCCAATAAAGTAGCTGCTAACTGTTTTGGAGTCCAATTTCTTTTCATTTGGCCTATAAGGCCTTGCCTCAGCTGGACATCCCCAAATATGTAAATGCTTTAAACTGGGCTTTCGACCAGTCCAAAGCTCATAAGGTGTTTTAGCAACTGCTTTACTTGGTACTCTATTCAGAATGTAAGCTGCTGTCTTAAGTGCTTCTCCCCAGAGTGACTCTGGTAAAGAAGAATGAGCAATCATACTTCTTACCATATCCTTAAGAGTCCTGTTTCGTCTTTCAGCTACACCATTCATGCTAGGTGAACCCGGCATAGTGTACTGTGGGACGATACCGCATTCCTCTAGGTATCTAGCAAATGGTCCTGGACGTTGTTCACCTGAACCATCATA